TCTCTCTTTCTTTCTTTCTCTCTTTCTTTCTTTCTCTCTTTCTTTCTTTCTTTTTAATTATAGCCACTTTATTGGTAATTCTGACTAAGCAGACCAACCCAAAGCTCATGGTTCTTAATCCTTGAAACTAAGATCCACCATTGTGTGGCCAATGAGGAACACAAACAGCAGGAAATAAGTTGGCCCCTCAACTTTGTATATTATTCATGAAGTTGATTTTTATAGGACAAAGCAAATTGCTTTCTTCCTAAGAATTTTTTTTTAATTGCACGTGTGATTGTGATATGGGGGAATCATAGGACAAAAAAGAGACTCAAGTGTGGTGTTGTTGTAGACAATTATACTTGGAGTCAGAATCCAGGGTTCCAATCCTGCCAATGTAGGTCATTTGGCCTTTGAAAAATCATGTAACCACCTGAACCTCAATTTCCTCATCAATAAACTGGGCATAATAGCATCTTAAGTTATCCACCTCACAAGGTTGTTATTGGGCTTAAATGAGATAATGTATGTGAAGCATTTTGTAAACCTTGAAGCACTATAGAGCACTACAACACTATCTACAAAGGAGTAGAAGAATTGTGAAGGCAATGTAGAAACCTATGAAATAAAGTATCTTTGAAGTATTGAAGTGTGGGGCTATAAACTTGTGTATTTTTATTAAGATTGAGAATCTAGAAACCTGAGTCCTAATGGCAAAAGCCATTAGATGAAATGAAGTGCTACTGCATAGGAAATATATTGGGATTAGCTGAAGATAGGCAGTCTCATCTTGTGGCTTTTGTATGAAAAGACAAGTTACTTCAGAACAGAGAATTCAGGTACCTGGCTGCCTACAGGAGACAACAATTTTATTGAAGACATTGAGAGAGATTTCCTTGGAGAAAGAAGAAAAAATAAGAGCCTATGTCTCTTCTCCCCTCCTTAATCACAAGACCTTGTAAACTTCAAGATGTTGGAGGATGCGGACTTCTCTGGGACATTCTAGAAGCATTCCCAGAACAACTGATAGTAGTCTCTGCATCTGCAGGGGAGGGCAAACTAGATCCATGGAGGAAAGGCATCTTCAGGTCTCTATGAGGATCCCAGAAGAAAGCTATATCATGACTAAGGATAATTTCATGAGGCCCCCATGTGGGGAAAAAGACTTCTAGCAATCAGAAGCTATGTTATCACTTGTCACATTATATATTCAAAGCTTGCACTCACTTTCCCCTGGATTCTGTATGTACTTATTGAAAAGTTTGTCATAGAAGTACCAATTGTTCTTACTATACCATCTTAGTAAATAATCTCCTCTAAAAGCTAATTAAGTTGACCTGTCTAAGTGATATAAACTATTATTCAATAGGGCATAAAGCACACTGATGGGGGTTCATGACCTATGGTACAAGGCCACCACTCTTCCCAGTCCCCCAGGGTCCCCTAGAACCTTGAGAGGACAAGTATAGGCCCCAATCCCCTAATATGAATGAGGATTTGGGATGGTAGTCCCAGGGCATTTGCTATAACTGGAATGCACTCCCTCATCACCTCTGCCTCTTAAAATCCTTAGTTTTGTCCAAGGTACAGCTTAAACATCACCTTTCTCGTGAAGCTTTTTCTGATACCCTGTCACTAGAGCTATCTTCCCACCCCCTATTATATCTATTTTGAATATATCTATACATGTAGATGTTGTCTTAGTCAACAAGCATTAAGAACTTACTATGTACCAGGCACTGTGCATAGTGCTGGGGAGAAAAAGAAAGACAAAACATAAATATGAAGTCCTCAGGAGGATCTTAAACCTTCCTGGGTCTCATTATCCTAATTTATAAAATGTTGGGCCAGGGGCAGCTAGGTGGTACAGTGGATAGAGCACCGGCTCTGAAGTCAGGAGTACCTGAGTTCAAATCCCACCTCAGACCAAACACTTGACACTTACTAGCTGTGAACCTGGGCAAGTCACTTAACCCCAATTGCCTAAAAATAAATAAATAAATAAATAAAATAAAACAAAATGTTGGGCTAGGTGATCTCTTAAGATCCTTTCCAGCTCTGAAATCCTATTCCTGTTATCTTTTAGGTTTATATTAGGTACATTTTATAATTACAGTAACCAGTGACTCGTCAGCAATGTTATTTACTAACATGGAACTCTTAGCAAATGAAAGTGACTCACAGAAAGTTGAACTTTGAACATATCCCCAAAATGATCAAAAGGATTTCAGTACTGATCTGATTCTTTACCACAAGCTGCACTATTTAGTGTTCATTGAAAATACGCATCTGGAGTAACATATTTGGAAGAAAGATAAACTGTTTTGAGAGATTCTTTTTTTACCAGTATGTATTGAAATGGCTTCTTTCTCTCCCCCCCCCCCCCCGCCCCCCATCCATTCTTTGCATGCATCCTCTGTTGCTTGAGCAAAGCAGAAAGGGTATCCTGGCTATCTGTGTTTTAAAGGAAACTGGTCTTCACATCATCAGTTCAAGTTTTAAGACTCCTACCACATGAGAATGTAAGGCTTTCATTTCTATAAATCATGATTTTTAAAGCTGTGGGAAAAAAAACCATGAAGCTTTCTCAAGATTTTCTTTAATAAGTGGAGTTAAGGAAAAGGAACTGGAGAAGCTTTGAGAAATAGGAGTGAAGATTGGGAAAGGCAGGAAGTTCTTTTGTCCCTTTTTTGCTAAGGTGTAGGAAAACAGATGCCACCATTGGTTATACAAGTCTTCACTGAGAAAACATCAATAGCCTTAACTTTTATGTATATGTGTGTATGTTCCTGTGTGTGTGTTCCTATGTGTGTGTGTGTATGGGGCTACACCTGGTCCATTGCCTTACCTCCAAAGAAAATTTTCAGCAGCAGCCTGTAGACTGTTTGCTGGGATGTGCCAGCAGGAAGCTAGGGTTTTGTTTGTCTTTCTTCTACATTTCCAATTTTCTGAGGTATTTCTGATCTGATAGAAAGGTATAGTATAGTGTATTTACATACAACCTAGCTCCCTTTCTAGACTATGTTGGCATTACAAAACTTTGGAAGCTGCAACAAACCACAGCAGCTAATTCGATAAGTCAGGGGCCGTTCTTTGTGGAAGGACTCTGGGCAGGGGATCTAGGGTTTTGTTGATTCCCCCAGAATCTTTTTTTTTAAACTTAGGGGTAGAGGGGGTGACACTGGAGGTGTGATACCTAGAGTGAATCTAGGGAAGCTTGGAGTAGTTCCTGGATTTAGGGTGGAGCTTCTAGGAAGGGAGAGGGGATCCATTCAGTCCTTTTTCCTGATCCTAGGACCTGCCTTGGGGCAAACTCTGCGGGAGGTAAGGTGTTAGGTAAGCAACACAGGCATCCTAGGTGTGTTCCCTGCCAAAGCCTTGAAGAGAGGAGTAGGAAGGAGGGAAAAAGACTTGAGACGGAGACAGACAGACAGAAAGAGAGAGACAGAGACAAAGACACACAGGGAGAGACAGAGACTCAGAGACAGAGAGTGAGCATTGAGGGGGGTAGGACGAGGAGGGGGAAGAATACCCAGCACCCACATCAAAGAAGCGACAAAGCTTGACCCCTCACTGTGTCTTGTCTTGCAGTTGCTGAATTTATGTGATTCGGTGAAGGAGGATGCACTGAAGGTGATTTCAGCCTTTAACATCCCTCACAGCTCCATCCACGCGCCGATCGCTGGCGTTCCCAATCCCCGAGCAGCCTGGGCGTTTTACCCTCCACCCCAGCCTCAAGAGCAGCCGAAGTCATCGGGGGAAGGAATGGGCCACCAGCGACTCAAATTTGGGGCCAAGTTATAAACGTGTTGTTTTCGGTGTTGTGTTTGCCGTCTCCACGGTGGTTCATTTCACAGAATCAGGAAGCTCACCCTAGATGTGTGCCAGGAAAACAATCCCATTTAGGTCCATGCTTGATCACTTGGCCCCTCCTGAAAAAGAAAGGGCACAAACTGGGGCCAGGCAATGAAAGCATGTGGCCACGAATCTTTGACCATAGTTGTCTATCAACGGGGTCAGGGAGGCCAACGCAGGCTAAAAGCACAAGCCTAACTGCTGATGGGTCTGGACAGGAGTCGCAAGGGAGAGGAGTGAGTTAGGGTGGGGGTGGAAAGTGCTGCAAGGGAAAGGACTTCCAGTCTTGTCTCTGCTGGAGAGCTCAGCGCTGTGACACCAAGCTCGGTCTCACTAACTGCGGAGGGATCGTCCAAAGCCAGGGAATGAGCTGTCCTCTCTTGGCTTCTGCAGGTTTAAATCTAAAGAGATTCTATCCTTAGGATGGAACTCCCGCTGGAAAGAGTAAGTCAGATTCTGAGGGATTCCGGGAAAGCTAATAAAATGTAAACAAACCCACCGGACTCCCCTCCCTTCCCCGCCCGTGCTCCATATAGCCTAGGCAGTTAGCTGTTTCAGTGAGTCAGACCCACTTAGCTTCTTAAAGGAAATGCCCCAGAGATGACAGACTGATAATACCTTTTGGAATTTTACTCAGAGAAGATTTCAAAGCAAATGCTCTGGAGGAGCCCGAGAAAAACCAGACCGGTCCTCATAACTATTTACCAACCAATGCAAACAACTTCTGAAAAGGATGAGAGTTTATGGGGGGCGGTATTTAGAAACACATTTTAAATCATTTTTACCATATAACGTTTTCAATCTGTCGAGTAGAAAAATATGTAGAAAGTTTAATAAAGAAATAAAAACAAAGAGAGCTGTGTTCTTTGTCTCTTTAGAAGTCAAAGGGGAGAACAGAGATCCAAGTTTACGATAGTTTAATTTAACAAGATTATCGTTGGGATCCTGAAACACAAGAACATTTACACTCAAAAATCCTAGCATGAGAATTGTGATTGTTTGATTCACGGACAAAATATCACCACCTAGCTTTCTGCCATGTGCTCCCATGTCCTCGGCAACCAAACCAACCAAACAAAACGGGCATAGAAAGAGCTTGTCTGAGTAAAATCATTTTGAGTGACCTTCCAGGTTCCAGGGTCAAGAAAAAAAGAAACCAGTGCTTTTCTTTGATTTTTCCCACCCGAGGCGCCCCAAAAAAATTTTTGCAGGGAATAGACCTTCACAGTCAGAAATTACAGTCCAACTGGGCTAGTGAGTAAGCCCTGGAATTCCAACAAACATAAAGGGGGCAGGAATGGAGGAAAGGACGGGACTGCGGCTTTGTCGTCATCTTGGAGGGGACACACAGGAAAAAGCTTTGTCTCTGGGTTAGTAGTTCTAGAGGAGTTACTGAAGTTATGCAGGAAACCATCACTGCAACAGTAATAGTAATATGCGGTGTTACCAAAGTTGTATGTCTTTCTTTGATTACATCCAAATCAGCGTGTAATACTTATTCGAATTACCCCAGATTTTTAAAGTACAAATGATTGTTTGAACGATAGGATTTGGGGGAGCAGGGTGAGCAAGGATATTTCATTGTAAAAAGCATTATTTGTATTTTTATGAAATCCTTCTCTTTTCTCTTCCCCACCCCCATTTCTTTGTCACTATTCACTTTCATCGACAAGCTGCCCCCCCCCCCCCCCCCGCCCCGTGCACCTGGTTTATTTCTCAAACAATTCCTCTGCGCAGAGAGCTTTCCGGTTTTCTGACACCCACTTCTAATGAAATGCGTGATGTTTTTCTTTGCAACCTAACCACTGTGCAAATGGAGCGGTTTTACGTACTCCCCTTCTAAATGGAGAGTACAGAAACCCCAGTATTGCCTTTTTTTTTTTTTTGGAGGGTTGCCTTTTTCTCTACCTCACCCCGCCTTATTTTCCATGTAACTATCTCCTTAAATAGAGCAAAGATTTCCCTACCATAAAATAGTTTGCTAGCTACAAAGGCTAACTTAAATATTTTTGGTTTTTATAACTAGATTCAAACTTTTTAAATTTTCTCTTTCCCCCCATTTTGTTCATGTTCTTTAATTTTTTTCTTCTTTCCCCCCTTCTTGTCTCCATGTCTTCTCTCTTCCTCCCTCCCTCCTTCTCTCTCCCCCCCCCCTCTCCCCCCCCCCCCCCCCCCGCCCCGTCTGGAACGGAGAACTGCCCAATTAGCTTTTTTTCCCCTTTGGGGGAATGATTGCGGAGATTTCATTGCAGTGATAAGCCATATCCATTCATTCAGTCTTATCCTTGGCCACTCTTCCAAATCACTGTTAGTCTGTGGGCAGGAGCATTTGTAGTTCCTGTACTGTAGCTCCAGTAGCTTTGTCAGAGATGTGTGGGAGCGATGAGATGAGTCTTTGAAATGAATGTTTTGCCTTTGCCTCTGAACTCATTTACTACTCTTTCCTACAGTAGCGAAATCCTTCAAAAGTTCCCCTCATTCAATCTCATTTTCCTCTGGCATCTTTTCTCTCCCTTACATTTTTATTTTTGCCAGATTTGCTATAGTATATACTGTTATTTTGCTGTGTCATGATGACTTTATAGTCTCCATAGTAAAAATAATTTTTTTTTAAATTGGACTTTGAAACCCGGAAAGTGACTTCCCTATTCTTCCACATGTACGCTTCTTACACCTTTCTTAGATTTTGGAAGATATCTTCTTACCTTGAGATTATTAGCAGTATCATTCTCACCTCCGTCCCCTTCCTTCTCTCGCTCCCTAGTCCCTTCCTCTATCACCCCCCACCCCCCACCCCGCTTGGTTAGGTAATGAGTCTTTGCTTTTTCCGTTATCCCTCCCTTATCTTGATGCCCTTTGTTAAGACGCAAGCGGAGGGAGGGAGGGAGACGTGGCTTGAATCGCGCGGGCAGAACAGGTGGTGGAAGCGCAGTCTCAAGTCAGATGATCTCATCCTGGGTAATCTGGGCGGGCGGTTGGGGTGGGGAGGAAGAAGAGGAGGAGGAGGGGTCCTACCGCACTGGTCAAAATGCTCTCTATGCAGCCTCAGCCCGAATAAATAATAAACTGTCTTCCTTTTTTCTGTCCTCAACACAAATCCCAACAACTCCTACGGCCGAAGACAAAACATTGACACACACTATACTACATGCCTTTGCCCAAAAAGGGCCCGGATCACTCAACCCACTCTGCGTGAGTCCAGCAAACACAAAGCAGGAAATCTGAAAGCTGGAGAGCTCTCTCCACAGACTTCAGCCTTTAAATTGTGATCTTCAGTGAGAAGCAGGTCCTTCTCATTCCGGAGTCACAGCACAGGGAAAGGCAGCAATTTCTTTTCTTGATATGTCCAAAGCTTTCTTTGGAGATTTCAGTTGTGAACTTTGTTTTTTTTCATGTTTCCCCTTCATCCTATTCACTTTTCCTCATCAACCCGTGCCTCATTCAGGTTTTGTAACCCGCAATCTGGAGTCTGTCTACCTCCTTCTTCTCTGCCTCTACTTTTGCCTCTTGTTCTTAACTCCTAATTAATGGCGTTCAAGTTCCGAGAATAGCACAGTTTAGGAGGAAACCTTGAGGTCGTTTGGGAATCCTAGGAGACACGTATTGTTTTGTGTCGGTGACACAAAGTGTCCGATAAAAAATGGGCAGCCTTCTTTGCTGAACTCCCCAGCCCGGATTCCAACCACCCTCGAGTGGTAACTTATACCTTTCTCCCTCCCCTCACTTCTGAGACCCACAGCTCTGTGCAAGGGCAGGCGTGTCCAGTGACTAGGTGCAAGACGATTTGCCTAGAACGTCAAGGAGAAAGTCCTAGGAAATCCAGAAAAGCGCGCGGGCCAAGAGACATCTGAGGCCTCGGGAGTCGATGCCCTCTCCCGCTGCCCGGCTCCGGGCAGAACGTGACTCAGTCCTAGAGCGCCCCCTGTCCCCTCCCCTAGCGGCTCCCCACGGGTTTGCTAGAAAGGAAGAAGTAGGTTTTGTGGGGAGGGGGAAACATCTCCGCGGGACTAGTCAGAATCACTCTAGTAAACACAGAGAACCCGTGACCGGGCTTGCTCCGCCCGCTGGGAACTGGACCTCGATTTAGCCGCTTCAGCGACTGGAATGGAACGAGTCTGTGCTAGGGGGAGGGGCGGCCAGAGGGGACGGGACCGGGTGGGGCTCACCCTGCCCCCACCCCCGCCTTTACCTGTCGGGACTTGCCTGCTCCGGGCTCGGAGTGGGCGAGGTCAGCCATTGGGGGCGGGGCTACGAGGGGGCGGACCCCGCGGTGATTGGATGGCCGGTTCTGGGGCGCCCAGCCGGGCGCAGCTGCAGCGTTGCGCAGGTTTCACTTCATAGCTCGTTGCTGTTTGGTGTCCTGCTCTTTTTGGAGCTGACGGTTCCCAGCAGCTCAGCAGCCTCTGTGCCGCCACTGCCGCAGCCAACACAGCAGCAGCAGCAGCAGCAGCAAGCCGCAGCCGCAGCCGCAGCCACAGCCGCAGCCCCCGCCGTAGCCGTAGACGCAGCATCGCAGCCGCCGCCACCGGTGCCGTACAAACTTAGCCATTGCTATCGCCGCGGCTCCACAGAGCTCTCAACCAGAGCGACCACCATCCATCTGATCGCCCTCCATCTCCCTCCTTTCCCCGGCCCGCTCGCCCCCAATGTCTGACTCTGACTCTCGTACTGAGAAGCGCAAGGTAAGCCCAGAATACCCCGACCCAAGTGAAAACAGAAGGGGACCAGGAGACCAGAATCTAGAAGGCCTCCTAGTGTCTAGTTCTCTGGTGGGTAAAGGAGAGCGAGCGAGCGCGCTGTATGTTCCCGGGGAACACAGACCGTAATGCGCCTAAGTTTCTGTGGCTCTCCAGCCCTTCGGCCTTCCCGCGCTGGCGCCCACGTGCCAGGGAGAATCATTGCTGTCCCGGAACTGGGGGTGGGGGTAGAGGTGGTGCTCAGCAAGAGGAGGAGGTTCGTCTGCGCCCTTGGATTGCAGGCGAAGTTTACCAAAGTTGAGGGATTTGGGCTCCTAAATACGTGCATCCTGAGGGGGAGTAGAATTGTGGTGGAGACGAGTCTGGCCGGGTCCGAGAGCCTCTATATTGGCTTTACGTTGGCTCTATGTTTCTTTTAGGGGATGCAGGGAGATAAAGAAGCGGGTGGAGGGAGGTTGTCAGCCTGGGCGCTTTTCCGGGAGCAGGAGGGTGAGAGACCCGTCTTCTTTCTTGGAGGGAGTCTTTTGGCGCTGGGCCCGGTGGGGGCTTTGGTCACCCCCATCAGGATCTAGGTAGTTCACCTTGTGGCTTAGGGTTTTCTGCTCCGGCTGTGTGTAGGCAACGCTCCGGAGGGTTTGAGGAACTGTGCAGCAGCACTGAAGTGACGTTAGTGACAGCACTGTTGCTCTTAGGCCGAGGTTTAAGGAGAGATGCCAGCGATAACCCTTGTTCAGGCCAGGCAGGCTGCGCTCCACAATCGCCGCTTCAGTCTTTCCTGCCCTGCAGATATTCCGAGCCCCAGGCTCCGAGGTCTTGCAAGAGTCCTCCCCATTTTTTCTTCGGTCGCGCCGCTGCCTGCTCAAGACGGTGTCCGCAGTGCGAGCCTTTGCGGGATTGGTGCTGGGAATGTACTGGACACTTATTTTTAAAGGGCTCGGTGGACTGGGAGCACAGCCCTGCCTCTTGCTACGAGGTAGGCGCTCACACTTTTTTTTTTTTGTCTGTGTTGCTTGGACCGGGGTCTCTGGATGGTCAGAGGGGTGAGCGAGTCCTTCCGCCCAGGGTGGCAGCGCGATGGACTGAACGGAGGAGTTCCCGCCCAGCCATGCTATGTGTCTAGAGGACGCGGGAAGCGGGGCTAGCTGGAGCAGCAGACACCGACCTGGCTCTTTAAAGTATCGGAGGAAGCGCGGACCTGCCCTACCGGGAGACGCTTAGAGTGGGATTGACGAGAAACCGGGAACGGACCCTTTGGGCTGGAACTTGGTCGGAGGCAACCGATTGTGCTCCCGATCGTTAGCACCCTAGCTTCAGGTTGGGGTTCTTCCACCCCCAGCTTCGACCTCAGTGTGTGTGTGTGTGTGTCCCTCCTATGTGATTGCATGTGCTGGCGCTTACCACGTGAGGTGCCCTAGTCCTTTTCCACTACCTGTCGCGTGTGATTGTCACCTTGGACTTGGTGTTTCTCAGTTTTGGGGCCAGGGAGTGGTTTGGAGAAATTGAGGGAGATCCACGCTTTTGACTGTGTCTCCTATACTGGGTGTGTTGGGCGGGGACGAAGACGGCTTAATGTGGGGGTCGAAGTGTGGTGGCCATGGCGGGGAAGTCGGCCGGGTGTTTGGGCTTCTGTCTGTCTGTCGGGTGACGGAGCTGTCGGCCTGTTTTGTTCCGGGGGCGGGGGGAGCTGGTGCGGACTGCTCGCAGAGGCTGGGGGAGGGGGAGTCGTGGGGCTTGTTGATTTCAAGGCTGCTGCGGTTGGAGGTGAGGACCTGATGGGCTGTGCAGGATTTTCCTGTGGAGTGAGTGTGCGTGTGTGTGTGCGTGCGTGCGTGTGTGTCGGAGGCGGGGGGTGGTTAGTTTGAAGGCTGGTGGCTGGATGCCAGGGAGATATTCAGGTTTTCGGGGTGTGGTTTATGTTGTTGGCCGAGGGTCGTGCTCTCTGGAGTCGGCGCGGTTCCCTCTTTGTCTGCTGGTGACACAGGCCTGGACGAGACCGGTGCCCTCCCTCCAGTCCCATATTCCCCTTCTCCCCCCCCTCCCCCGCAGCAGTTGGTGAAGCACGAGGGGCGCGAGCCTCGGAGTCTGAGCGCCGCGCCGCAGCCCCGAGCCGCACGTGACCCGAGGAGGCTTCGGGTGTTTGTGTGGCGAGGGTGGCTGGGGGGAGGGAGCCGAGCCGAGAGGGAGGGCGCGCGCGAGCGAGCGCTTCTCCGCAGTCGCCGCCGCCGCTCTCCGGCCGAAGTGCCACTCGGAAGGCAAGTTTGTCAACAATCGCCTTGCCTCCTGGCAGGCTGACCCGCCGAGGGGGCCGCCCTTGCCCGCTTCGGATTGGCTGAGGCTCGACCGAGCGACCGCGCTTCGGCCAATGGAGAGAGCGGGCGCCGCGAGCCCGGCGGCCAGGGGGAGGTCAGCGGTTCTCTACAGTCTGGCTGTAGAGTGCGTGGGGGGAGGAGGCGGAGGCGGAGGATGTTCCCTGGCGGCGGCGGCGGCGGCGGCGGCTGCGGGAGGAGGAGGAGGAGGAGGAGACGGCGGCGGCGGCGGCATCGGAATCGAGCCGGGCTCCGAGTGCGGGCCCTCGGCCCCGGCGTGTGAGGGTGTCAAGTTGGGAACTTGTTTTGTTTCTCTGGGGATGAATTGAGAGTCCTGAGCGTAAGTTCCAAGGCTTTTGTTTCTCCCCCTTGCTCCCCTTTGTTGGGGACTCTGAGTTCTGGGGGGAAGAGACCAGGACTGGTCGCGCGCATTCCCGGGGACAGCCCGGAGAGCAGAGGTGCCGGGCGGAGGGTGGTGTGCCGTGTGGGGAGGACCTTTTCCTGGCTCCCCAGTTTTTCCTAATACAATTTGCGATAAATACACAAGCATTGTGATTATTATTTTGCCTGTTTGTCCTCCGGAGGGGAGGTTCGTTAAGGTGCCTCCTAGGTTGCAGCTGGAGGTGTGTGGAGCTGGGTCTTACGCACTGCAGGGAGCATGCCCAAAGAGAAACCTTCCCTGAGGTTGATTGTTTTGGGGTTTTATTGTATGTTTTTTTTTTCCTTTGTGTATGTATGTGTGTGCCTAACATTTGAAGAAAGCAGGGTGCTTTAAAAGAAAGTGAGATCTTCGTCAGCCTTTGCAGGAGAGGCTGGCTTTCTTGCAGTAGGAGTTGAAGACTTGTTGAGTTAGCATTAAGTTAGAAGAGGAGAAAGAAGGGGGGGAATAGGGGGTGGAGTTGGTAGTAGAGGGAACTGAAGAGGCACTTTGCTATGGACAAACTATTGTGACGCATTTACTACAACTGATGGCTGCTGCCAAACCTTCCCCCAGACTTGCTGTGATCAGCACATTCGGTAGAACAATGGGGCTAGAACAGGGAACTTGGCCAGAAGCTGCACAATCACTGCATCTACTCTTCACTCCTACATTTCAACACAGTATCTGATCCATGGGAAATTAGAACCTACAGTTGGGTGTTTTTTTTCCTTTTAATTAGCCAAACCCTTTCTTGGTGTTTGGTATATGGGGATGGATTTGAAAATATAGCTGCTGTGTTCATGACTTGGGCTGTTAGTGTTTTAAACTTAAGTTTTAAGTAACTTTTAGCACTCTATTTAAAGGGAGGAAGCTTAACCATAAAAATTACACGTAGAACTGGCAGTGGCAAGTATTTTTACTTGGAAGATGAGAAGTTTAGGGAAGCAATAGGGTAAGAAGAATCAAAATCCACCCATGCTGGATTAATTTATGGAATCTTTATGTAACACAAGTGAAAATTAAGGTAGTAGGCTTTCTTATGAAATATAATCTTAACTGTACCTTTTTTCTTACAGAAAAAAAGACCAAATGGCAAAGCAACCGTCAGATCTAAATTCTGAATGCCACAGAGAAGGTGGACAATTACACCCTACAGAAAGGCCTACTCAGCCTCAACAACTCAGACCAGGGGCCCCTACCTCTATACAAACACAGTATCAAGGTAATTCAGGTGAAGGGGACAGCTGCTCACCCAGCAGCCCTCAGGGACCATTTGCACCACCCACTAGCCCTAGTCCGTTTGCTACCAGATCCCCACTTTTCATCTTTGTAAGAAGATCCCCACTGCTGCCTCGATCTTCCAGTGGGTATTTCTCTTTTGACACAGACAGGAGTCCAGCACCTATGAGTTGTGACAAATCTACACAAACTCCAAGCCCTCCTTGTCAAGCCTTCAATCATTATCTAAGTGCAATGGGTAAGCAAGATCATGGTAAGACATGTTTTGGCTTGTTTTATTCTTTTTGACAAGATGTGTGTAACACTTAAAAATGCTCCTTTGGGTATGAGTTTTCTCATATAGTCCATGTTTTAATGGGAATAGACCACACCTCAAACAGTAACATCAGACTGATGTTTTAAAAGCTTGTTCTGAAATTTTTATTAACAGCTGGAACTGGTTGGGTGAGATTCTAGTGTCTGGTGTGAACGTTTTCTTGTACCTCCAAAGTACTAGTAATAGAGTATCTATCCTAAGTTGAAGTATGTTAACATTTATGTGTGTGTGAATGTATAAAACTAGTTTAAGATATAACTATATATTTAATAAGATGAGGCATTTACCATTTAAAAATTGTAAAGTTTATATTAAGCCGATTTGCCTAGGTATTGCTTTTAACATTGTATCATCCTTTGGAAATAGTTAATCTGGTTTTCCATTCAAATTAGACTTTGCTTGAGTTCCTTAGTTCATTTTATTCAATGTTAATTAGTCTCAGGTAATGGATTTGATGCCTGCATGGCTGTTTAAGTTTTACAGAGAGGAAAATTAATATTCTTGACCCTTGCTAATAACTTGCCATTGTTGGGCTAATTCATCACCAAGTTGAGAGGTTGGATGGCTCATCGAACTCATTGCACCCCTTCCTGTTTCTTGAACACATTTCCTGACTATAGGCATTTTCACTGTCCCCCATACCTGGAACTCTCTCTACCTCTTCACTTCTCTAGTTTCATTCAAGTTTCAGCTAAAGTCCTACCTTCTACAAAAACTCTCTCCAATTCTCCTTAATCTTAGTAATTTCCTTCTGAAATTATCTTCAATTTATCCTGTATGTATTTTGTTTCGACATTGTTTGCATGTTAACTCCTTCATCAGACTGCTCCCTGAGAGTAGGGATTGATACTTAAAAAAATTTTTCTTTTCTTTGTATCCCCATTGCTTAGCACCATATCTGGCACATAATAGACAATTAACAAATGCTTATTTACTGATTGCTACTACTACAAATATGTCACAAAAGGCAAATAACACTACTGATGTCAAATTTAGTTTGTCATACAAAAAAAATTTAATTCTTAAAATATCTAGCATCGTTAAAAATATGTAAGAGGGCAGAGGATTTTCCATAGTAAAACATCATTTGTATCAGAATTAATTTTTATCCAAAGTTTTGCCCAGGAAAGTGATTATTTTATGTTGAGCTTATCAAATTTAAAAGATTAAAAGTTTTAGCCATTTTAAAAACATTCTTCCAAAAGACAGGTCTCACACCTTGGCTTCCATTAAATTAATTAAGCATTTATTAAGTACCTACTAAAGGCAGCTAAGTGGCATGGTGGATAGAACACTGGTCCTAAAGTCAGAAAGATCTGAATTCAAATAGGCATTAGACACTTAACTGAGCAAGTCACTTAACCTCTGTTTGCCTCAGTTTCTCGACAGCAAAATAGGGGTGAAGATAGCACCTATCTCCCAGGGTAAGGATCAAATGAAATAATATTTCTAAAGTGTTTAGCACAGTGCTTGGCACATAATATACTCTTACTAAATGCTTATTTCCTTCCTTCCTACTTTGTACTTACTAGGTGCTTGAAACACAATATATTTTTATTTTGGAATTTTTTCATAAGGAAACAAGAAACTAAAAAAGTTTTGCACATGCTATCCAGGAAAACCCAAATTTGGAATTGGAAAGCACCTTTATATTCTTACTGTCATCATAAATGTCTGCAGACATTTAATGAGTTCTTAATGCTCACTGTCTGCTAAAGACACTGTCTTAACCTTTTCTTGAAAAGGAAGTTTCTGTATCCATTTAAGATCTTGGAAGTAACTTTATAGGATCATAAATTTAGAGTTAGAAGGGATCTGAGAGGTCAGAAGAGTAAACTGAGGCCACATTTGCTTAAGTGAATTGCTTTAGGTCACACAGCTGGCTTTCTGAGTCAAGATTTAGGTCTTCCTGACTCCCAAGTCCAGTGCTCTATCATACCTTGGTGCCTGTTGAAATAACTCTTTACCTTTAGCTTATTTATGCCTAGAATATCACTAATCCTGAAAATATACTCACCAGGAGCATTTAATACATATAATAAATATTTTAGTTCCAAACTATGTCCACATGATGGTCTCAGCTTAACATTCTCCCACGGGTATTAATGTAACATTTTAAGGTTTGCAAAGCAATTTGCATGTGTTATGTTGTTTGAGCCTCATGGACAGCCCTTTGAGATAGATACTGTTGTCTCGATTTTACAGAGAACAATACAGAGGCAGTTAGGCTAAGGCTTGCCCGTACTCATAAAGCTATGTGGATGAGAAGTGAAATTAGAAGCTAGGGTCTCCGTTGACTGTATGTCCAGCATTTTTTCAATTAAACTACCTGTCTCTCTCTCAATGGTACTGGCTACTAAACAACTTAATGGTTTTAAAGTGTGTATATGAAGCAAAATCAATTACATGAGAGACTGTACTAAAGCTATTAAGTCGTGTTATTTAATTTAAGACCCATCTTATTCTCTACAGGTAAAAAAAAGTACCCGGTTTTATTTGTGCTTGAAACTGAATTCTGTTAAAAACTAAATTAGTCGTTTTCTAGTAAATAAAAAAAATAAGAATCAGTTATTTTTTGGTCCAGAGACGTAGAAATCTCAAGCTTTTTTTTTTTAAATGCTAGCAGGTGGTGGTATACCACTAGATATGTAAATTACTTTGAAATATTATGTTTGAAAGCACAAATGACTATCTAATTTACAACATAATCAATTATTAGAGGAGTGCTTTTATAAAGTAATTCTAAAGAATACTTTCAGGTGTTTGTTTAGATGTCAATGATACTAATATTTCTTGTGTATATAGTACTTTAGGTACTTTCTAGCTTTATATGTGGTAATTATAGTTGAAATTGGTTTAGAAGGTACACTTATAAGGAATTCATTAGGGTTTAAAAAATGCAGTGTTTTGAGTTGAGTGAAAGCAGTGTTTTGAGTTTGTGGTATGTGCGTGCACATGGGCATGGGAATAAATCAGATTGGGGTTGGAGGGGTGAGTAGAACTGAAGGTAGGCTTCACTTTTGATGGTTAGGGAAACTCTTTGTGAGAATGCATAATGTAACTGTTAGCTAATTTAGAGAGATACTGGATACTTTACATGACTTACCCAGGGTCATAAAACTACTAAGTGTCAGAAATAGGACTTCCGAATCAGGGTCATCCTTACTCTGAGGTCTGCCTCTGCACTGTTTTCATTACCACTGGCTACCACTAAAAAAAGTAATAATAATTATTACAATTATATAGTGCTTAATATGTTCCAGAAGCTGTGCTAAGCGCTTTATAAATGTCTCATTTGATTCACACAACAATCCTGGGAGGTAAATGCTGTTATTTCCTCATTTGTAAAATGGGGGGGGGGGGGATTGGACTAAGGTTCCTGCTAGCTGGGCAAACCTCTCTTTGCCTCAGTTTTCTGTACTGTTAAGTTGGTATCATAAGAGCACCCACCTTGAAGTGTTATTGTGAGGATCAAATGAGATTTGTGTAAAAAGTGCTTACCACTGTGCCTGGCACAGAGCTGTTTATACTTATTCCTTTTCTTTCCCTTCTCCTAGCTCTAAGTCCCTGGTCCTGTGATCTCTAGGTATCATGTCATGTCTCCTAAAGTTATTAAATATAGGAATAATAATTGTAAATCACGTAACTTTTGTTATTAATAAAAGTTGTTATAAGCTAATAATCTTTACTGTTTTAGGAAACTTCTAAAAGATGCCGAAATATCATCCAAAAATGTGTTCTCTTAGGCTTTGGGACTGTGTTCAGTGTTCCCTATTTGACACTGTTTTTAAGGGTTTTCAATAAAGTCTTTGATAATCTGTTACAAAGATGTTTCTTCACAAAGAAGTCTTTATATAGCTAGTATATGTTCAACAAAAATGTGAGGCTATAAATAGACTCTTTCCATGAAGAAATTTCCTAAGTGGTATCGTGTACACTCTATATGTCTTGTAAAAGTCATGAGTACTGAATATTTCTAGCCAAACAATAAGTTTCTGTCAGAAGCTGATTATAGTTTAGCATTTGTTTAAAAAGAATATATCTTGAATCCTTTTCTTACCCTTGCAAAGTACATTTTTTAGAATAAAGATGTTATTACTATATTCATATTGGTTATCATTTGACCATAACATAAGGCATACATATACAATTTTGTTTTACAGTTTTTAAATTAGTTAAGTGATTCTTATATTCTAGGGGCAGTAAAGGCTTCTTACCTTATTTCATCATTTAATGAACAAAACATACTGATCACAAAAAAGGTCTTGGTTCTCTTGATTTTCTTAGGTTAGAAACTTGAACCATTTATTGTTTAAAAGATAGCCACGTTATATGAAATTCAAGAAAAGGCATTACATATATGATTTCTTTGGTTCCCTATAACAACTTCCTCTGGTGGTGGTATAGCATTTTTGGTGGTATGGATCACATGCTTGATGTCTTGCTTTTCACATTTACTAGTTGTATTACCCTGGATAAATGACTTCACTTAAATAAACCTCAGTTTCCTTATTGCCAAAATGAGTATAATGCTTTTGTTTTCTAAGTCACAGGAAGCTTAAATGAGGTGATAGTACAAAAGTACTTTGTAGAAAGTTAAACATTACATAAATATCAGTGAAGATATCATCTGCATTTCAGAGGTGAGGGAACTGAGGCCAAGGAGATATTAAGTGACTCTTGAGGTCACACTGCTGGTAAGTGGTGGATTTGAAACTCAAATAATAATAATAATAACTGACAGCTATGTATGCTTTAAAGTTTGCAAAACACTTATGTACATTCTCACATTTGAGCATCACAAAAACCCTAGGTCTTCTGATTCCTAATTGTTCTTCCTACTATACCATAAAACAAGTTGCAAAAGAGTAAAGTTTAGAAATTTTAAAAAATTTAGTTAGGAATTTCGTCTTTTCCAATGCTCTCTTAAATAAGAA